GAGGACTTTTGCTCACATTATGGATAACTCACTCATTAATCAACAAAGAACTATGGAGGCCCCCTCATATCCAGGACCAATTTAGGGAACACAGTAATCTTGGTTTTTCTACCCTCCTCCGGCTCGTTAGTGCGGAATAAAGTTCCTCTCAATATACCTTAGTCCCCCACTCCCGTTTCCTAAGCCTCGAACCTTACACAGCCAAAGGCAATCTGGTAAATGAATAAGCAATAGTGTATTTTCTTTCAGGTTTAGGAGATATTTTTCCCAGATGCCCTGCCCATTTCGGACAGGGCCCTCACACTAGCCTGTATGAAATGGACGGACTGAAGCAGTCACTGCAGAGCCTAACTTCCTCTTGGTGTTGACATGAAATGTGATGGGTTAAAAAGCATTCAACTAAGACTAGACAACCTTTACTGATGACCTTGGGACTTTGAACTTTTATTGACGGGAAAACCCTACTTAACAGTGACCGGATGAGGTCACGTGGGTGATAACTGTTTCCATGTTAGAGTGCCTCACTGCACCCCGAGGACTGCCACACACTTTATGCCATTTGAGTCACAGTATATCCCTGGGAGGTTTGCAGGGCAGGGGGATAGTCTTTTTATGGATCAATGAAAATAAGCTCCTTGTTAAGGATCACTGCATAGCTGGAACTAGAACCCGGATTCTAGTCTTCTTATGAAGTGCTATTAGCAAATATATAGTATCCTAACAGGGTTTCCTCCCACCTTTTATAGCACTACCATACACTATGACCACCTTTCACTTGCTTATAGTTTCTGCGGGTTGGCAGTGGGCTGGGGTTGCACATGCAGCTGCAGCTATCTGGGATTGCCTGGGGTGGATCATCTAAGATGGCTTTGCTCAGATGCTTGGTGCCTCAGACGGGATGGCTGGGCCTCTCTCTCTACAAGCCTTTCACCTCCGTCTTCCTCACACAATGTGGATGCTTTCAAAGAATATTAAGAACAAAAGTTGTGAGGCCTTTTGAGGCTGGGCTCAGTATATTCTGTTGGTCAAAGCAAGTCACAGGGTTAATCTAGATTCAAGAGGTGGAAAAAGAGTTCACTTGTTGATCTAAAGAGCTACAAAGAATTTAGGCCCATTTTAACATCCATCGCAAAGAGAAATACAAGTTCAAAATAGAGATCAAGTTGGGTAACAAGGAAAGGGAAAAGCCATATATGTAATCTTGAGTATGTTTGAATATGTACTTGCTCTGTATGGTTGCAAAGGGACTGTGTTGAAAGGTTTCATGTCCATCCTTGTGAAGGATGTTACAGATGGGCCGAGGGCTTCCAGAGAGGGTATCTGCCTGACTTTTCCAATTCCGTATTTCTTGGCTGCTTCAAAATCCCCATCGATGACCAGGTAAGAAACTGTTTTAGAGTCCCATCAACTTAGGCCCTGCTTTGTATGAGGAGACATATACAGAGTCTGACTTTTGAATAACCTAGGGCAGTGGTTGGCAAACTCATTAGTCAACAGAGCCAAATATCAACAGTACAACAATTGAAGTGTCTTTTGAGAGCCAAATTTTTTAAACTTAAACTTCTTCTAATGCCACTTCTTCAAAATAGAATCGCCCAGGCCGTGGTATTTTGTGGAAGAGCCACACTCAACGGGCCAAAGAGCCACATGTAGCTCTTGAGCCGAAGTTTGCTGACCACTGACTTAGGGCAATTATATAAGTCCTAAATGGGTTAAGACTTGTGAAATTATCCCTTTACATGAAGTTATGGGTACATGATTTTAGCACGATAAGGCATCTGCTAAACTTAACTGCAAGGAAAGACCTGATGATTGTAAAGTCCATGTTCAGAAAGAAAGCGCCAGTTGGAGGAGCATTTTGAATGCCGTTTTAAATGCCTCATGCAAAACGAAATGGGGCAGGGTAGAGTTATAGTTTGAAATCTTCCCTGAAGAGTCAATGCCTAAGAGTTTGGAGTTAACACACTTTGTTTTTGTGATCTCACCAGGAAAGTAAAACTCTATGCTCTTAGGAATGAAAGCAGGAAAATAATTTATTTTAAAAAATGCTCTCCTAGCCCCTCCTTTCTCTTGGAGTTGCATCACTCTGCCCTAACAGATCATCCCTGTCTTCCCCAGGATTCTCTGGGAACTCAGATCTAGTGGAAGGGATGGATTTGGGTCCCATAATCTGCTGCTGACTTCCTTTCTGCCAATTGAGTTAAACAAATGTGAGCACTGCAAGGAATCGGAAATAGAGGAAGCAATCATTTGATAGTAAGTAGCATGTTTTAACTTCTGTCCCTACTTAGCCGATGCATTTGTAGTACCCTTTGTAAAACTGAAAAGTTCAGTAACCTTGCTGGGTCTGCTGGAATGTTCCATCCTGTCCCTTTACTAACTGCATTTAGATGAACACAAGATTCATTTCATTTAGTCTTGGGATCCATATGAAAACTCTCACGAGGACCCAGGGTTTCTCCTTCTTTCTTGTAAGGCATGGTATGTTTGTTGTTTTCTGAGCACCCTGACTAATGTGTTGACGGTGGTTATTCTCTGAGTGCAAATGTGTTTTCTGCTTGACCACAGCTCATGCTCTGTCTCCCACTGGGGCCTGGTCAGGCAAACTGTGTGTACACTTCTTGAGAAGGCGGATTGTTGTGAAAACCCTTCCCACATAAACAGAAACAAGGCACTGGCTCTTTCAGATACGATTGCCATCAACTTTTTCTCTTATAACCTCTGGAACACAATTGCATCAGCTCAAAGACCATCTGGTTAAGTACTTCCTAGCTTGGCGGGTGGAAAAATGCCCAAATGCCCCAGGCACATCTGCCTTGGTCTCCAATTCCTACAAGATCAGTAAGCAGACTAGTACTGACTCAGCCTCAAAAGGATGGTTTTGTCCCGGAGGAATCTGAGATCATATGTCTTCAGAGAACTCTCGGGGGCTTGTGTTTCGAGTTAACCTAAGGAGAAAGTGTTGGTTTAGGACAGACCTAATTTAGAAATGTTCATTATTCATTCATATTTATGACCAGATACTTTATAGAGCTATATACATAACGATTCAACTTCTATTCCTAAAAGCTCGTGCAACAGGGTGAGGATCCAAGAAAGAGAGGGAACAGAGACATAGAAATTGATAGTGATAATACAGAAATCCTTCCCCCATGTTTTAAAAAGTCAAAGTCCCCCCCCCACACCCCCATGAGAAAAATAGAGGTTTTATTCATTTACTTATTTAATCAGAAAACATTTGCTGAATGTCTGCTTCTTGCCAGGCCCCATACCAAGAGCAGCCTGAGGTAATGCCAGGAAGATCAGAGAAGCACATTGCCCTTTCACCTTGTCCTCTGGGCAGCAATCCTAATCCTTTTGGGTTTATAAAAGAACATGCACTGGAAAGGGAACTTCAAAAGGAAGCAGATCTGCAGTGTAAACATCATCTTCAACTGGACCAATCATTTGTCTCCTTTGTCACTCAAGGCAGTGAAGCAGTAACTCACTGGTATCCAAAGACAACTGTACAAATATATACCTGCTTTTTTGTTTATCAAGCACTCCGCCCTCCCCTGCCCGCCCCCCCCCCCCCCCCCCCAACCATACTTTAGTTTGACGACTCATAAAAAAGGAATAAACTATTCCGGGTAAATGTAAATATTCTTAGTAGTAAGGAACTGCTTGAAATCATTGTATGGAAAATGAGATGAAGTAATTTTTAAAAGGTAGATTTTATGATAATAACTAATCTTTTATAGGGTTTATGACTTGCCAGACACTGTTTTAAGTGCTTTGCAGAAATGAACCCATTTGATCCTCAAAAAAACTCAATGGATTGGGCACTATTAGAATCTCTTAAAAATTTGAGAACTGGGGCATGGAGAAGTGAATCTCTTGCCTAAAGTCACACAGCTAGGATTTAAACCTAGGAAGTCTGTCTACAGATTCTGGAACCCAAGCTTTGCACTATTTCCACAGGTACAGCTACATGAATATATCACACTTAGAAAAAAGGTCAGGAGGATGCACTAAACAAAACCATGGTTGTTGTTGGGCAGCATTAATTCAATATTACATTAGCTGCAATATTTTAGGGTTTTCCCCCACAAAGAGAGTGATTTTGTTACTTCTTCTATAACTTAAAAATTATTTTAAAGACCAATGTTGGGCCAAAACCGGTTTGGCTCAGTGGATAGAGCGTCGGCCTGCAGACTGAAAGGTCCCAGGTTCAATTTGGTCAAGGGCATGTACCTTGGTTGCAGGCACATCCCCAATGGGGGGTGTGCAAGAGGCAGCTGATCGATGATTCTCTCTCATCAATGTTTCTAACTCTCTATCCCTCTCTCTTCCTCTCTGTAAAAAATCAATAAAATATATATATATATAAAAAGATCAATGTTGGGGTCAATTTAAGTATTTTGAATAAAACTACACATTATGCTCTTCTACTTTTTACACTGTCCTTAGCATCATTAAGAGCAGGACTGTGGCCGAAACCAGTTTGGCTCAGTGGTAGAGCGTCAGTCTGCGGACTGAAAGGTCCCAGGCTTGATTCAGGTCAAGGGTATGTACATTGGTTGCAGGCACATCCCCGGTAGGTCGATGTTTCTCTCTCATCGACTTTACTAGCTCTCTATCTCTTTCCCTTCCTCTCTGTAAAAAATCAATAAAATATATTAAAAAAAAAAGAAAAAAAAAAAAAAAAAAAAAGGCAGGACTGTGTTCATCTTTCCACTTGGGCAGTCTCATGACCTCTGATGAAATCTTATTTCAGAGAGGAGATGAAAAGTTATCTCAGATTTTTATCTGAAACAATGGGAGATATATTTATAGAAGTATTACACTTCATGGCTGAAATGCCTTTCAGAGTTTAGAGATTGCATATGAGATGAAGTATTAAGTATTGAATAAAGAAAGACTTGTCATTTAATCATGAAAATGAACTAAAACTTTAAAAATATCTTATGTGCCAACAATTACAAAATAGTACTGTATTAGGGTTCACCGGAGACATAGACTGATAGATGAGAAAATATTTTAAGGAATTGCTCACACAATTGTGGGGGCTGGTAAGTCTGACATTTATAGGCCAATCCAGCTGGAAATCCAGGTAAGAGTTGATGTACAGCCTTGAGTCCAATCTACAGGGCAGGTCAGCAGGCTGAAAACTCAGGCAGGAGTTCTCTGTTGCAGTCTTGAGGCAGAATTGCTTCTTTTTTGGGAAACCTCACTCTTTGCTCCTAACATCTTTAACTGATTGGATGAAACTCACCCACATTATGAAGGATAGTTTCACTGATTGTAAATGTTAATTACATATATCTAGACTAGTGTTTAACCTAACAACTGGGCATTATGGAGTAGCCAAGATGACATGTAGTTAACCATAACTAAATTCCAATTTGAACTAAGTTCTGACTGCTCAAGAATATGTTAAATATGTAAGATTTTTACATTTAGGATGATTGCAGCTTTAATTTGCCTTAAGAGACTCAGTCATGTGAGGAAAGTCTTTGAATAGTACATTTGCAATATATTTAGCTATTCTAATCATTAGTTGGGATTTTTTGTTTGTTTTATAAGAGAACATTTATTTGGTAATCACAGAGGAAGAATTAATTCCTAAAAGAAATGGGCTTAGGAAACAAGTTATAGAGGTAAAGGAAGGGCCCTTGGAGCTTGGGAATGAGGAAGCCAAGGTTAATATGCCTGGGGTAGGGAGGGAGAAGGGAGAGGAAAAGGCACAAGCCTGGGTGTAATCCCACTGTCAGGAGAGTGAGCACCCTAATCATTAGTTTTGCTTAATACAAGTTGGGTTATGAGATGATCCCGAATTATTTTATGGCAGTTGAAATAAGGTTAACTAAAACAATGTAGACACATCTTTGAAGCTAAATGGCACTGAATTCTTTACTGCAATGTAGCATTTTCAATTTTGCTCCTAGAGTTAACGTATGCACAATCTGTTTACTGTTCTGAAATGAAGGTGCTCAGTAATGAGACGTTTTCAATTTAATATAGTCATACTATTCCATCTTTCACATCTCATCCAGCGATTATATTATGCAAATGATTTCAGGATAACCTCCACCTGATGGGAGTCCAGATTCTAAATAGAGTTTGGCATGTGAGAATATTAACAAATATGACCTGACTCCTGACATTATAGCTGAACTTTAATATTGCATTGATGCTATCCCTAAATAAATCAATACTTTGTTCCTGATCGACTGTGGGAAACATTTTTCAGATTTAGGACTATCAATTTAACAAAAGGTTATTTCAATTGTTAGTTTAAATTAGAAAGTTGTATGCCACCTGAAAAGATACTTGAATGTCTTTCTACCTGTCAAGTAGATGAAGGGAATATGTAGTATATGCCATGGAGTTGATGGCCTTTATCTTGTTCTCACCTGTGACACAGATACTTAGTCCCTTTTAACAAATGAGGAAAAGGAGGCTCAGACACTTGCTCGAGGTCACAAAAAACACAGCACACCCCCTTCGAAGTTTAAACTCTTTCCGCTACAGACACAGCTGAAACACAGAAAGAATTAACAGTTTGTTGTTATATTTCTCACATAAAAGGCTACGTATTCCTCTTACCTTGCTTTTCTCTTTTAGCACAGTTGTGAGGGCAAAGTAAGGCATTGCTTTTTAGGCAAATGTAGTAGGCTGGACTGTCTTCATTATACTTTGATTACACTGCAGTTTGTCTTTGGCAAGATCAAACTTAAACTTGCTTCTCACTTCAACTTGTCTTTTTCTAAATGATAATTGAAAGAGACTAGGAGCTGCAGTGTGCTCTAATGCGATGGTGGGAGGACATTTCAGAGGAGAGCAAGGACTCCCTGGGTAGGATTTCAAAGGCATTGATGAGTGCTTTTAGTTATGAAGAAAATAATTGGGAGTCCTTTCCTTTTCTCCATTTTTCTTTTCATTACCCCAGAGAGCCTGTAAGCTGTAGTTGCTGCAAAACACTTCTAACTAGCTAGTCACTCAGGTCTGGGTTGCGCTCTAGTCAGATGTCAGGTAGACAAATCTGTGCTTTGCAGTCATACAACATGGCTAGATATTTATAAGATAGCACAGTTCTATCCTTGAATTATATTCATTAACTGACAGGGAACTAGAGATCATTTAGTTCACTGGTTTTCCAACTTTATTCTTTAAAAAAACATATTTTGATTGATTTCAGAGACAAAGGAGGAGAGGGAGAGAGAAAAACCAATGATGGGAGAGAATCACTGATTGGTTGCCTCCTGTATGCCCCACACTGGGGATTGAGCCCATAACCGGGCATGTGCCTTTGACTGGATTTGAACCCAGGACCCTTCGGTCTGCAGGCCTATGGTATATCCACTGAGCCAAAATGGCTAAGGCTCCAATTTTTTTTATAGCACAAAAACTGTTTAAATTCTTTGACATGGTTTAATTTTAAAAAGACAGTTCTTTCACAGCATAAAATGTGGGCTAAAATTTTAGGTTGCTGAAAAATTCTTTGCCCAAGGAACAATTTATCCTCATATAATTAAAGCCTAATATGCAAATTGTCCCCTTGACTGGGAGTCTGACTGCTTGCTATGACATGCGCCGACCACAGGGGTGATGGGGGGGTCGGGCCATACAAAACACAGCAGGTATTGGCCATGTGGATCTGGCAGCAGGCAGCAGAGGAGGCACTGTTGGCCTTGATGGGCCCCAATAAGAGTGGGACTGCGGTGGAATGCTGGAGCAGGTGAGTGGGCAGGGAAACGAGGTCAAATTTAAACCGCCAACAGGGGCTGGAATTTGATAAGACAAGAAGGGAGGTAGGAAGGCCTACCTGTAGCTCTTTGACAGAATATCAAGAGCAGGAGCATGACTGGATGGATGGCTCAAGTCTGAAGTCTTGGCAAGTAGAGTATGATCCTGTATACATAAAAAGGGATGGAGAAAGATGTAGGAAAAGGTTAGCTTTGCTTAACTCTTGACTTTTGGGTTCTTATTAATCCTTTTCTGTATTCTGAACATATTACTTTTATAACTAGGCAAAAGCAGTTATTTTACTTTTTAAACTTTCCCTCAATTTTCTTTAAGCTAAATTGATACTATACCCTATATGGAATTTCCTACATTTTTTTTTTAAAGCAACAAACTTCCTTTAATTTATTCATAAGTGGTCTGTGGCTACCATAAAAATCTAAAATACATAACAATGGCAAGCATTTGGTAACAAATTCAAAGAAACAGATATTGAAGGCTGGAAACATGTTAATTCATATAATGTAACGAGAGCACAAAGATCTGACAAAGATCTGTCATATTGGGAGGCAGAATTTCCTACATTTTAATTCAAAATTGTATTTGGGAGCAATATCATGTACTAGTAGCCATTAAAATCATGCCTTCAAAAGAAATATGCATTTATCAGTCTTCTTACACTGAACTTCATGATTTGATATAATAGGGTCCTATGCAGACACAGCAAGGTAGAAAAATCTCTTGGGATTAAACCAGTATTCACAGCACTTCAAGCACTCTCTTGAATGGAGTAATCATAGGCAACGCAATGTGCTCAGTCACAGGTGATGGTAGAACAAATGCAAAGCACAGGGTCTCCTTGTCTGACACAGGAGTGTGTTGAGGAGACAGGCTTTTCTGACACTGACTGAGGATGAGCCTTCTCTGAAAACAGTAAAGAAAGGTTGGGTGGCCTTTAATTGAACTCTCTTGCCACAACAAACATATCATAATCTGTGTGATTAATATCACCTACCAAATTGATAACTGACCTTTATGAAACATACACAAAAGCTATCGATGAGCTTTTGCTTTTAATTCACTGGAGAAAAAAGATCTACCACTGTAATACTGACTTATTTCTACTATGCTCAAAGCAACTTAAAAGCATCTAGAATTACTATGAGGAAAACATAACCTTAACTCCACACAAGGTTTTAAAAATCTGCCTGTAGCTGAATGGGTTTATTTCCTTGTAGAGAGAAACTGACTAGTACACACGTATAGATTTCACCTGAGAAACATGCAGACTTGGAGCTGCTATCAAAATATAAAAACCTGAGCAAAAGTTAATTTTCAATCATACAGGTTTTTATGTGAGACTGACTTTTAACTCAGGAAGTTTTAGAAGTGATACAAAGTGAAATACAGGGAATCAAACCCAAATTATCCAAGAAAAAGCTCAATTTCTCTTTTAAGTGGTTGTCAAAGATGGACAATATATTTGAAAAGATCAGTGTGATATTTCTCAAACATGCCTGATTATAAGAATTGCCTCAGTACTTTAAAATAAGAGTCTGAGACCTGTTCTCTTTCGATTCTAGCCCAGTGGGTGTTGGTTTGAATTGGAATCCAAGGTTTTGTATTTTTAGCATCCCAAGTTGTTCTAATAATCAGGCAAGTTAGGGAAATAGTGGCTAAGGGGAAAACAACGGTAACAATACCATCACAGCTCCTTTCCCCATATTCAAAACCTGCCCAACACACTGCCTGAAAATGAGAAACACTCAACTGAAAATGAGGAATTGTCTGTAGAACATGGTTTATTTTGAGTCCAAAACACAAAATTACTCATTTTTCTTAACATACTATATAATTTCCACTGCATGAATATTTAGTGTTTCTGTATTCACAAGTATATATTTCTGAACTTTAGGCTCAAATGATTCACATATATATGAATATGTGTATTCATATATATATTCATATTATATATTAATACAGAAGACAAATACTTTAACAAATCTGTTTAGAAAATATTTTACATAAAAACACACAAAGCATTTACTAGCATTCTTCATCTTTACAACCAGTCTTCAGCTAAGATTTGGCTGAAGTCTATCATTTTCTACAAAACATTCCAAGACTAAATATGATAGAATGTAGTACATTAAACCCTCACTTAACATCATTGATAGGTTCTGCAACTTTAAGTGACATATAATGAAACCAGTTTTACCATAGGCTAATTGATATTAAACAACACATAAGTTCTACAGCATCTCCTCAACCTCATAATGAAAACAATGTTTTTCGAGGACCTGCTGTATTTTACATACGTTCACTTGTTATTGCAATTAAAGTTCCCCTTTCTTTGATGGCTTGAGAGCATTTATCATACTAATAATGCAATAGAAGACTTCTTTAATTCACGACTTATGAAATTTGTCTTTTTTGGTATAATTTATCCCTAAGCAAGAACCAAATAGTCATGATGAAATCACGTATCTGACATAAAAGAGCTTTTTCAAACTAACAAGAGAAGCATTTAATACCTATTGTTATAATACCCTAATTGTTTTGTGTCCAATAGCAACCACCTGGAGTGCTGTTAATTCTAGTATTAGTTGGCATCAAAATATAAAGTAAGAATATGTACATTTTTTTATATATCAATTCTTACCTGAATAATCTCAGATTTCTTGAGAGTGTTCCACAAAGTGGAATTTCTTCCTAAAGTTATAGTGAATGTGGTACAATGTGTACAACTTGGTTAACCAGTCTTTGCTTTTTCATTTCCAAGACTTTTCCTCATCTTGAATCAAATGCACAATCTTGACTACCACATAATGCACTGGCTTAGTATATAAAGTCCAACTCAAGCTTATTTTGGTTTATTTTACATGCTTTATTAAAACAGTACTGGTATTTACATATCTGCAGAGTCCCTCCCAAGGCGCTCTCACACATTAAGACACACCCATACAACATCCATACTACGGCCCCATGGACTCACACTAGTGAGCTGTGAGGGTCAGAGTCCTAAAATTAGGGAGCTGTTGGGGGATAGAGTTGTTGATTTGGTTTTCTTTTCTTTTTTTTCCTTTTTTTTGAAAAAAGCATGGGGGAATGCATTTGGCCATTAAAATGCTAATTAAGTTTGTGTATATTAACATATATGGCAGTAACACTGAATATTCCTTTTACATTCTATATACACAGAATGACAAGGTTTTGCGGTCAACAGAAGATTCCAACTTCGGTCTCAATGCTGCTTGTAGTGACTTCTGAATTCACATAGGGGCTTTCCCTAAAAATAATTCAAGTCTATGTAAGTGAAATAAGGCACAAGTAATATTGATTTGATCTAGGTAAAGGGAAGGGATGAAAACTAGTTTCAAATGATCTTACTGTTGGAGTTCTTTAACTTAAAATCCACTTGAAATCCTGTCTCCTAATATGCAAAGATTTCTTAGAATGAAGTTTTGTTTGTTTTTTCCCTTTTCCCTGACAAAGCCCAAAAATAAAAGTTTGGGAATTCACATTTGCATGTTTCAGTAGCCTAAACCAGCAGTCGCCAACCAGTGGTCTGCAAAGTCCAAAAGGTTGGAGACGGTCTAAACGACTCAAATTGATATGCACCCTGCCTTCTCCAGCCCAGGTCTCCTCCCTCTCAATACCAAAACAAAAGCACAGCAAAGGAAATAGGAGTCCCTTGTTGTTTTTGAGATTTGTATACTTAAGTAGCAAATACATATCTGGTTGTCTTTGATTTTTTTAAAAATAAGAAAAGCAACCTTGTAACTTTCTTGCTCTATAAAAAATAATTCCTGTCTTCTTTTCAGGATGATGAAGCCCCAACCAGACATTACAAACAACTGTAACAAATGAGTTTGGCAGCATAAATAATGTCTAGTTTCCAAAACTTCATAGTGAGATTCATTTAGCTTGTACACAATCTGTTGAATGTTTTTTGCAGCAGGTGAACCAAACCCAAAGACGCTGGACATTCTGTGAAAGGGAGTAAGAAGGCCCCTGACTTTAGTTGTTTACAAAGTTCAGTCCTGTTTATTGTGATCCTTGGTATCTTCTTCATCTGTATATTCTGACGGTTCTTCTCCTGGTTTTAGCAGTCTGCCTACATAATCATATTTTTCTGAAAGACATCAAAAGAAAATCAGTAGCAATAAAATGTTTCACTATTCCATTGTACAGCACAGAAGGCACTTGCTTCTTCTGGAATGATATAGAATAAGCTACATTTTCCTACTGCTCACCTTGGCTGGTCTTTGTACTCACGTAAGGCTTGAATAAAAGAAAACAGAATTAGGGAATTTATGAAACTTGGGAATTGTGCTTTGCAGGAGAGTGCTCCATACTACCACTTCGAATCAAGGACACTGTATCACAATCACTTAAGAGAGTTTAAAAAATATATTATGTATGTTCAGAACTGATCTTGGAGCTACTTATCCAGGCTCTTGGGTTAGGCCTGGAGAGAGATATGTAGTCTTAATCTGGTCTAACTTTTTTGTGTACTATGGGTCTTAGAATAGTTCTTTAAATCTTTTTTTTTTTTTAAATATATTTTATTGATTTTTTACAGAGAGGAAGAGAGAGAGATACAGATTTAGAAACATCTATCAGCTGCCTCCTGCACACCCCCTACCGGGGATGTGCCCGCAACCCATGTACATGCCCTTGACCGGAATCGAACCCGGGACCTTTCAGTCCCCAAGCCAACGCTCTATCCATTGAGCCAAACCAGTCTCGGCTTTAAATCTTAATAGCCCAAAATATAAAGAAACAAGTTGGCAATGAGGGAATTTCCAAGTTATTTAAAATCTATAGGTATATCAGGGTTTATATAGAACTGAGATGAAATAAAAATGTACTATTCTTTTTTCTATTAAATTCTCCTCTTAGATCTGTTACATTACTTGTTTTTTGAATTCTCACCCGAGGATATTTTTCCTTTGATTTTTTAAATTTATTTAAAATATATATATATTTTATTGATTTTTTACAGAGAGGAAGGGAGAGAGAGAGAGAGAGCTAGAAACATCGATTAGAGAGAGACATCAACCAGCTGCCTCCTGCACATCCCTTACCCGGGATATGCCTGCAACCAATGTAGATGCCCTTGACTGGAATTGAACCCGGGACCCTTCAGTCCGCAGGCTGAGGCTCTAACAATTGAGCCAAACCGGTTTCGGGTTTTTTTTTAAGGGAAAGACAGAAACACGGATGTGAGGGAAACACATCAATTGGTTGCTTCCTGCACTCGCCCTGATCTGGGCCTAGGCCCGGTAGGAACCTGCAACCGATGTACACGTCCTTGACTGGAATTGAACCTGGGACCTTTCGGTCCACAGGCCAATGCTCTACCCACTGAGCAAAACTGGTAGGACTACATTACTTGTTTTTATGTTACCAGGTGTTTCATGTAGAACATTGCTATGTCCAAGGTGATACACAGTCAGTAATTTCTTGGTTAGAAATTTGAACCTATGTTAATTGAATTAACTCACAAACCAAGAGGATAAGATAGGACTGCTTTTTGCAGTAGAACTAGTACAAGTGCCAAGAAGCTAGAAGAACTGTTCCAAAGGATCCAAAGGTCACATAGATCCAAAGTGTCACATAGGTGGTAGTAATTGATGTCGCGAGGGTATAAGGAGAAATGAGATTTTCCCCATATAGCTGGATGGTAAGATAATCAATTAGAATAAATAATTATATTAGTAACCAGCTCAGTTTTAAACATAAGCCTATATATTTTTTAAAACTATGCCTTAATAAACAAGCCTTATACCACTCAAGGTATTACAATTTTTGTTAGACTTATAGTTTGTAACAAGTCAATGTTTAAATATAGATTTTATAAATCATATGTAACAATCATTTATTTTATCAAATAATGATAGTGATGAAAACATATGGGATCCTTGGGCTCCTAAAGAATGTGAAATAGCATTCACTTTCTTTGGCCAAAGACTGAGTATTTCCAAAGAACCCCAAGAAATGAAGGTACCTTTAAACTGCATTTCCCATTCTCGGACACTTTCCATTTGTACAGCATTCAAATCTGATAGATCATCATATTCATCTTTAAGTGCATCTTTATCTAGGCAAAATGTCGCCAGTCCTCTGGAGGCGTCCCTACCAGCAAATATTCCATATGGACCCGCTGTGGGGGAAAAAGAAATTATATTTAGATAGCCTAACAATATTTTAAAGCGTCTCAAAGGAAAAAGCCAAAAAAAAGAAACTTAATAATGACTCATATTTGGTAACAGCCTTAACTTCAAAACATGCACAGGTACTAGATAGGATGAGAGGAAATTTCTTGGAATCTGCCTTTTGACCAAAATAAAGTCTTTCACTGAAAATGGAAACCTTAAATTTCACTTATTTCATATACCCCAAAACTTGTAATCAATGATGAAGATAATGCTGTGCCAGGGGGAGAATAGATTATTTCAACAATTAGGTTTGGAAGCTAGTTGGCTTCCAAATGATGCTTTACTGTTTGTTATTAATTGTGGCATCTAAAAATAACTGACAGAACATCCACTGGTAAGAATTATGTAAAGACTCAAGTGATTGTGAATCTAAAACATTTTCCCCCCCTACCCAATGTAGGTTGAAAGTCTGAGGACAGAGACTGAATCATCTTTGTATCTTCACTGACTACTTCAGTGCCCAATCCATGTGTGATGTTCAACAATTCTTTGCTAAATAAATGGCCTGATAAAAAATATGACCCGTTTTCAAAATAAATACCACCCAATTACTATAATATACTCATAATTACCTATATAAACTATGAAATGTTATTAAAGAAAATAATGGTTTTCATTTACCATGACTTTTGGAAAACAGTGGCTTTATAAAGAACAGTTCTTCTGATTGACACATAATAATTAACATTTTGTCCAAGGAATTAGGAACCACCCTCTTTAAGGAGGAATGGCATGATTTATATGCTGTTGAAGTGAGCCATTCCCAAAGTTTGTCCTTGAGAGCAAAAACTATCTTACTCATCTCTGTATCCTCAATGCCTAGCACAGTGCCTGGCATGAAGTAGGAACATGATACATTTCTTCCAAATGAATTAGTTACAATTTCAAATAAAGAGAAATTAGCTTTTGACCCTTTAAACAGATTCACTTATGGTAAGCAAAGTCTACACCTACTTTAAGTATAGATTAAAAAAAGAGACTTGTTATTTAAAATATATACTAATATGACTGAAACAACCTAATTTTCTATATCAAGAAATTGGTTAAATAAATATTAATATGTTAACTTAATGTAGTATACACCTACCAAAGAGAATGAGGTAACTATATGTACAGACATAGAGGTCTATGATATATTAACTGAAAAATGCAATTCAGAAAAACATGCAGACATATGTAAATATAATACACACACACACACACACACACACACACACACACACACACACACACGAGGCCTGATGCATGAAATTCGTGCAAGGGGTTCGGCCTTCACAGCCCTGGCTTCATCCAGAAGGTTATTCTGCTGTACGATCGAATTAGCATATTAGCCTGTTACTATATAGGACTAGAGGTCCAATGTATGAAATTTGTGCATGAGTAGGGTCCCTAGACCCGGTCGGTGATCAGAACTAATCTGAGGGGCGACCAGCAGGGCAATCAGGGGGCACCCCCTGGCACCCATGTTGGTCAGCCTGGTGCCATCTGCTCTCTGGCCCCAACCCCCGCCGCCAGTCACCTCCCTCTACGGGGCAACCGTTGGAGCAATTAGGGGCCCCCCTGCTGACACCCACCTTGGCTGGCCTGGGGCCTGTGGGCAGCTCCGGCGATGAGTGTCTGCCCCCTGGTGGTCAGTGCATGTCATAGCAACCGGTCATTCCACCGGTCATTCTGCTGTTCAGTCGATTTGCATATTAGGCTTTTATTATATACGATTATGATTCACTCTGAATTAAAGAATATACATGTATGCACACTTTAAACTCTGCATATGCATGGAAAACACCAGGAAGAATACAGACCAAACACTTAACAGTGGCAATATTTCTGGGGAATGGAGGAGAAATCTTTACTTCATTTAATTGGTAAGGTCTGGCTATTGAAAAATTTATTTAAAAAATAATCTTTCAAGAGTTTTCTCTCTTTATGTTAGGTTGCAGACTTTTTCATTTAAAATGTTATTTTAAGAATTACGTACTAATAAATATTTCCAAAATATGTTAATTATTTCCTGAGACTGAAAGTTATCCATACATGACAGAGGTAATGTGTTTTTTTAAAAATATACTTTTTATTGATTTTTTTACAGAGAGGAAGGGAGAGGGACAGAGTTAGAAACATCTATGAGAGAGAAACATCAATCAGCTGCCTCCTGTATACCCCCTACTGGGGATGTGCCCGCAACCAAGGTACATGCCCATGACTGGAATTGAACTTCAGACCCTTCAGTCCGCAGGCCGATGCTCTATACACTGAGCCAAACCGGTTTCAGATGACAGAAGTAATTTAGAGAAAATAATTTTAAAACCAGAATTACTGGCTTAACTGAACAACAGAATGGTAAGAGAGCTCCCATCCAGTTAACTGTATAAAGTATTTTCTAATGAGAAGTAAACAAGTAGAAAAAACTGGAAATTCCTTGATTTTTAAATTAGCAGAATAATGATTATATCCACAACACATTGGAAATATTTAGGAAATTAAAGGTTATGAGTCACAAAAGCATTTGTACCTTTTAGATAATTCAAATTTTTAAATAGACAAAAATCTAAACATTACTTTGGATGATAGAAACCACTGCACCATAAAGAATGTAAGAAACTCATTGTCTGAAAAGTTTACTATATGTACCTAAAAGTGGTTCTTTTAAATAATATTTAAAAGTAGCACTGTTACTCTACAGTTAAAATTTCTACAACCCAGGGCTCAAAGAACATCACAGAAAATATCCCAAGATACAAAAAGATACTGATTGCTGAAGGAAAATTTGCAATGAAAATTATAAACTACATAAAGAAACACCATGGAGGAGTGAGTACATTTAACAGATGTGAGAACGGCATCCCAAGAATAATAGTAGCAGTTTAAAGAATAATAGTATGTTTGCTTATCATTATTAAGAAATTGAGATAGGTCAAAAGGAAAGATTAACTGACATGATGGAAAGAATGAAAAGATAATGTGTATCTGAGCTCCAGAGGAAGGACTAAGGAGAACGGGAGAAGCAATAATTGAGAAAAAAATGGGTTCACATTTTCTAAAACAAATGAAAGGTACACATCTTCAGATTTTTAGTAGAGTCTGAAATAAATTGCTGCCTGGACAAATCCTAGTGAAAGAGAACTCCAAAACAGGAGGCCTTGTAGCTCAGTCAGTAGCTTAGACTGTCCAGTTTTGCCAAGGTTGTGGGCTTGACCTCCCGCCCCCATTCCCCCCACCTCAGGGCAAAACACAAGAATCAACCAATGAATAAATACATAACTGGAACAACAAAATAATGTTTCTTTCTCCCCTTACCGGCTTTCTAAAATCAATTAAAAAAAAACACACAAAAGGGAAAAAGTCTCAACTATAACAAGTTCTCAATGTTGTCCATAGGTTCTTGGAAACTGTGACTCTAAGTGAAATGATGTACAACAAAACCAATTTTATCACAAGTTAACTGACATAAGCAAGAGTTAAGTTCCTATGACATATTGTATTTCTAGTCAGGAAAACATCACCAAAATTCGAAATAAAGACTCAAACCACTTATAATATTAAACACTGAAATAAATGTGAGCTATATGTAATTTAAGAAAGATGAATAAAACAAGAGAATTCTTTTCAACCCAAGTGTTGGACATGTCCCCCATTCATCACAGGACTGCTCACACCCACATTCACTCAGACCAGCACAATGAAGACACACCAATTCATCTAACATGCACATCTTTGGGATGTAAGAAGAAACCAGAGTCGCTAGAGAAAATCCATGGGAAGAATACACAAACTTCAAAAACAAGTTTTTTTCTCATCAACGTTATAACAAAATAAAGTTGAACAAAATAGTTATCTGAGGACCTGCTATACAACCAAAGGGAAAAGACATATTAAAGGAATGAAAAACAAACCAAAAGTAGACTAAAAGAAGTAGCAGACAGTGGCATAACACCACTTAAGATTTTAGGTACAATATCTACAATTATACTATCATTCCAGAGTGAGGGAAGATAGAAACAGAATGTTTTCTTTTTCTAGCAATGACATAACTATAGGATGTACTCCATTAAAATGAAAACTGAACCCTGAAGAAATAAGATGCAATAGACAACAGTGAATAAAGAAAATAACTACATTGACTATAGATAAAAAGGCAATAATAATTTAAACAACGTGGGGGTGAAGTTTAAAAAAATACAGTGGAACTAAGAGTCTAATATCAGTAACACTGAGCCAGACCAACCAGGTCACTGTTCGATTCCCAGTCAAGGCAAGAATGGGCCTTTGCTCTGGCCAGAGACGCCTTTTTGCCTATACACAGTCCAGGGACCCAGAGCCCCTGAGTGGCTGAGGTGATGAGGAATGCCTACGTCATCGCCATGGCAACGGCACAAGTGCCCCCCCCCCCCCAGCCTGCATATGCGAACTAACCTGCCATCTTTGTTGGATTAATTTGCATACCCATCCATGATTGGCTGGTGGGTGTCACAAAGGTGTGGTCAATTAGCATGTTACTCTTTTATTATGTAGACTAGTGGCCTGGTGCATGAAATTCATGTACATTATTAACATCTATCAACTGTCTCCTGCACACTCCCCACTAGGGATGTGCTGGCAACCAAGGTACATGCCCTTGACCAGAATCGAACCTGGGACCTAACAGTCCGCAGGCTGATGCTCTATCCACTGAGCCAAACCGGTCTCGGCTTAAATAAATCTTTATTGTTCAGATTATTATACTTGTTCCTCTCTTCTTCCTCCCATAGCTCCCCTCCACCCAGTTCCCACCTCACCCTCTGCCCTTACCCCCCACCCCCACACTGTCCTCATTCATAGGTGTACAATTTTTGTCCAGTCTCTTCCTGCACCCCCCATACTCCCCCCACCTGAGAATTGTCAGTCAATTATTTCCTCTAATTAAAAGAAGAATAATTAGAGGAAATAGTTTAATATTGCTATTTGCCCTTTATAATAGAAGTGTCAGAGATAAAAGAAAATTGGTAAAATGTATATGAAAACCTTTCTCCTGTCAGAGAGTCAAGTCCCCACCCACCCACATGTGCCTCAAAACTGCATGAGACCCAAATCTGGCCGACCTCTGCCCACAATGGGCTAGATCCAGACCTGGCCAGTCCCATCCTTGTCAAGCCCCTTCAGGCAGGGGATGTAGCCTCAGGTCCCCTGCCCTAGCACTGGGGCTGGGGGTGTGGCCTGAATTCCCCTGTCAAGCCTCATGAGGGTAGGAAAGGGTGCAGCCTCAGGTCCCTGCTGATTGCTCATTAAGGTTCCTTATGGGAACTTGGCTTCAGCTCTGGGTGCATCCACCTTTGTGATGGAGTGATGGTCAATTAGCATATTCCCTCTTTATTAGATAGGATAGTATTTAACATAAATACAATTCCCTCAAATGTTGAACTCAGGGTGCCAATCTAGCAGGCACTGTAGAAAAAACTAGTATGTATACATTTGAGAAGATTATTAAAATCCATCAGAAAACTAAGCTGATCCTTTTATTTTATAGGTAAATAATGGATGTGAATGGACTTTAAGCCCTAACAACAGACCCAGTTGGCTTCAAAACAAGAAGCTGGGATGTGAGCTGGTGGTGTCAATTAACACATCCATGATGGAGTAGGGCAGGTTGGGCCTGGTCTGTATGTTATAACTTTTGCTTCTATTGCAGTTTTGTAAACTAGAAGTGAACATGTTGAAGATAAAGCTAAAACAACAACAACAACACAAAAACCACTTAAAAGGCACATGTGTTCCTTTCTCCAACTCCCAAATATTAGACATCTCATCCAGTACTTCTTATAAATGACTTATTTCCCACCCCTCCCCCCCAATGTAACTTAAAAGTTAAGTTGAAGAAAATACAGAGTTGGTATATATCAAAATACTTTACGTAGAATAAGGGAGAAGCAATATACCTACATTTCAGAAATGTGGGATAAACAATTAGAAAGGTAAATTGTAAAATCTCTTGCCATACTAAATAAAAACATTGTTTTTAGTAGAGTTCCATTGCAGTAATATTAAATCATTTAAAATTATACTATCTGTTTGAATCTTCCTAATCTATTGATTCTGGAAACCTGTGAAATTATGTTGTGATACAATGGGAGAGGATGGCTTGTGAAGCCAGTTCACTGGATTTGATCTCTAGCTTTGCCATTTACTAAATATGTGGGCAAACTTCTTGGAGTTTATTTTCACATTGGTAAAATGATAATATCTTCAGAGATGGAAATACCCTATAGATTTCACTGTTCAATAAGAGCACTGTGGCTACTGAGAGGAACTCAATTCAAAATTACATTTAATCTAATTAATTTTTAAGAGCAATATGTGGCTTGTGGCTATCATATTGGACAGTACAATGGAAAGCCATGAAAGTGTGTTTCTTTGAGGCTTTAAATGCTTATGGGAACTAGGAGAGGGTATAAAAAAACAGCGGTAAGATAGATTCTCAACAAGTTTATCCCCAAAACTGAAATAGTGTAGATAGCCTTGGTGGTGAAATATGTCTATATTTCAATGCCATGTCTGTGTGAGCCTAGCAAATTTATCCAAAATACTGAAACCTCAGACTCCTGAAGGACAGGAACACCTACTAACCTCTCTGAGGCATTGTGCAGATGACAAATTAATGGATCCGATATAGTAGGTGCTTAATAAATCTGGTTTTCTTTCTCCTCCCACATTTTATTTTCTCACATGACCACTTTCTTCACATGCTGGCCAAGTGCTTGAACTGTTACTAAATTTAATATTGACAAATATAGTTAATGCCACCTGTTTGCCAACATGAGTGATCCACTAAATTGTCACTATTTATTTTTTAAAAGAATCTGAACTTTAAAAATGACCAACAATGTATCCTCAACATAGAAAAAAGAAAATATTCTTTAACTCTAAAACCATTATTATAAAATGGAAGTAGGTATTGCCTACGTATGGCATAAAAACTAGGCTTTCTGGCACCCTTAGTTCATTCTTTTAAGCTATTAAGATTCTCAGATAAGGATTACTGCTTCTGAATTATTCAGCTACAAAACTGCTTAATTGATTTGAGGATGAAAATAAAAACTTAAACCAAAACAGAACTTATATATGATATATAGAAATTTGGCTACAAAATTTTTGCAAAGTGCTATATCTTTTACATATTCCAAGCCCATAAGATGAGCCAGCTCTTTAAGGTTCCTTTTAATAATAAAATATTCCTAATGTCTTTATTATGTTGTTGATAAATAAATACCTAGAATAAAATAATTGTCTATAATTCTTAAGCTGGGTATTGGTGGAAGCTAACATAAAGCTGACTTTCTAGGCTGTTATCTGAGTCGTCCCCTCACTGCTCAAGCCACAGGAAGGCTATCTACATTACACCTATGACTCTTATCTTAATTTTTAATTTCTGTTGCAGAACATTTGCTGCTGGAGGCTGCCAAACTGTGTCGATGACTGTCCCTCTTAGCTATTTTCAGATGGTGGCAAGGCATAATGTGTAAGGACAAATATGCTTATTTGCATTAAAACTTTGGTTGCTTCACTGTCAATTTAGACAAGGGGCTACAAAGGCAGATCTTTTAGATTGGTATGCTCCATATTATATCATAAGTCTAAACCTGAACACAATTTCTAAGCACTGAACTCACATTTTAATATCAATGGGGGGAAAACTTTAGATACAAATACCATGTAAATCTTGACTAAAAAATAAAAAGGACTAATTTGGTCTGTGCATCTATTACTGTACTTTGGCCCTATTTTCTTGTCTCACATGCTCTTAAGTAAATAAGTAAATAACAAAAAGTACTAACCATTTCAGCTGTTTTTCTTATTCATATAAGTAGAAGCAAATACTTGACAAGCTATCTGGTTCTTAGTATGGCTGAATGTAGACATATACACAAAAATCCAAGCGACTAAGATAATAGTTTGATACATAAAATCTCCCATTTCTTATCTCTATTCTAATTAACAAACTACACACCAAAACACTTCTTTTCCAGCCACAAAGCACTGAAATCATAGGTATATATTAGCAGGTGTCAATAAATCTCATGCACCAACAGGCTGAGTCAAATAGGAAACCAATTAGTTTTTAAGACTTGCCAACCTCCTTGACTTCAAGGCTTGACGTACTCTTTTTGAACTCACTAGGTCTCTAATTTCATTACTACACTTTTATTGTCACTTTTTATGAAGTTTAGAATTAATTACTACACAGCCAGGAAGTACGATGTTGCTCAATTTCATGGTACACTAGCAGGATCCAACTGAAGCTTACTGGCATAATCTTAAGTATAAGCTATAACCACATACTAAAAGAAGGGTTTCTACACCAACTATCCCACACACACGGTTCTCTGAAAGCAAAGTTCAACTTGCAGAACTGGTGCATGAGGGATAATGAATTTATAGCTTTTTAACGTGCTTTTTTTTTTCTCCTCTGTGAAAACACATTATCAACGTGTATTTGAATACTTGCTTTCGTGCTACAAAAAAAGAGAAAGAAAAAGAGAAGGGAGAGAGGGAGAGAGGGAAAGAAGAAGAAGAAGAAGAAGAAGAAGAAGAAGGAGGAGGAGGAGGAGGAGGAGGAGGAGGAGGAGGAGGAGGAGGAGGAGGAGGAGAAGGAGGAGAAGGAGAAAAAGAGAGAGAGAGAGAGAGAGAGAGAGAGAGAGAGAGAGAGAGAGAGAGGGAGAGAGAGAACATATCAGACTGACATGCCTGCTGGGTGTTTGAGCTCCACCCCCAAAACTCTGGGCGAATACCCTTGCTAGTCTTAACTTAAGATCTTCATTCTGGTCTGCCCTCATCCCACATAGTACATTGTTAATCTTGGAAAGCATCTCCATACAAAAACTGTTTGTTTTTAAAAAGTCTGAGGTGTTGTTGATATGCCCAGATTTCACAGACTACGGGGCTGGGACTTGGAGCTACGTGTACTAAAACGTGGCCTTATGGAGAGTAGTAGTGGGGAAAGGGAGATCAGTGGCAAAGAGAGTAGAGAGAGAGAGAAAAGCTGTGAACTTCAGGGCCTAGAATTTCAGGTCCCCCCTTTAGAAATCGCCCCTGCCTGCTGCCCTCACCCATCCCAGGAGTCAGAGAGCTCCGCAAAGCTTTGAGGGGTCAGGCGTGATTGGCGACAACCAAGCGGGTTTTGAAAAAAATTCAGCCCAAAACAAGGCGGCGAGTAGAAAAGAGATGGGATTACATGATGAAAGCTGAGAGCTGCTTCCTGGGGGGCAATCCTGGGCCCCCGACTTGAGGGGACAAGCTGGCGGTGCCCGCGGCCGGGGGTGTGCGCGGGGCGGGCCGTCCCAGGTGCGGCGGCGAAGGCGCGGAGGTCCAGGCTCGGAGGAGGCTGGGTCCGGGCTGGGCCAGCTCACCCGGCGCCCGGGGGGCCTCCCCATCAAAAGGGGGTAGCGCCTGAGGGCCAGGGGGGGTCCTCCCCTGCCCTTCCAGCTCCTCCTTACCGGGACCGTAGAACTTGCTGCCTTTGGTCACATCGAAGACTTTCCCATTGACCGCGAGCAGGATGCGCGGGGTGCGGGACCCGTCGAACTGGCGCAGCTGCTCCAAGCTGAAGTCGCGCTTCTTCATGCGCGGCAGAGCGGCTGCGGGGCTCTCCTCGCCCGCCCCGGCCCCGGCGCCCAGACCCCGCCGCCCCCAGCGCACCCACAGCCGGTAGGCCCCCAGCAGCACCAGCGCCACCAGCGCCACGTTCAGCAGCATCTCCCCGCCCCCCGTCAGCAGCGCCAACGCCGCTGCCGCCCAGCCGCCCCCTTCTGCCACCACTCCCGCGCCGCCCGGGCTCCCGCTGCCGCCTTCCCTGCCGCTCTCGCTGCCACTCCCCAGGGTGCCTAGCTTCACGTCCCCATCACCCGCCGCCATCACTGCCCGCCAGCGCCTGCCTCCTAAGTCCCCGCCCCCTTGCCCTCCCCCAACCCCGGTACGCCCCGCCCACCAGGCCTCCCAGCCAATAACGTGGGGCAGGGGGCGGGGCAACTCCGGCTCCCGATTGGCTGTTGACGGGGTAACGTTGTCTAAGGATCTTCCTTCCCCGCCCCTTTTTTTGCTGGCCGCGCTCGCGTGCAACGCCCCGCCCACCTCGCCCCACACTTCCCGGCTCTCTGAAGTAGAGGAGGCGGGGCCGGACCGGATCACATAGGTAGCGCGGGCGGCGCGCGCGCGCATGGGCGGGGCGAGGCCGCGGTGCGTGCGCAGGTGCCGGAGCGCCACGCGCTTCCCATTCCTCCGCTCGCCCTCCGAGAGGGAACGCCCCGCCCAGTTCCCTTTGTGCGCGTGCGCCCGGGAAACGCTTCCTTCCCCCGTCCGAGCGGGCGTCCGCGAGTGCCCGCCTGTTTGCCGCCGCTCCGCCCGGGAGCTTCACGTGCTCCGAAGCGGCCGCGGAGGTGGGGCCCGGCGGGGGGGGGGGCGCCTTTCTGAGGTGGTTTGTGGGAGGTCGCGACCGTTGTAACTGCTGGCACACACTGGTGAGGGGCCGCTGTCTCCCCAGGGCGCTGCCGCGCCCGCCCGCCCGGAAGCCGGGAAGCGGGCTCGCAGACAGGGCTGCCGCCCAGGCAGGAGTCCTGGCGGCGCGCCGGCCTGTCTCCCGGGCGCGGAGAGGGCGCGGAGCCCGCACCCGGGCGGTGTGGCGCCCGGAACCCACCGGCGCTCCGCACTGGCCCGCGCAGCCGCTCGCTCCCTGGTGGTTTGGATCCAGGGTGCTGTTGTGGGATTTCCTCTCAGGTTTTAGACTAAAGGTGTCGTTATTCCCGAAGTGACACGTGCGTAAGATGAAGTGGCCCTTGTAGAGTTTTAGTCTCTCGAGTCCTTACAGTTCCACGGCCTCAAATGTCACCTCCGAAGCCTCATGACCAGCCCCTCGGCTCTTGCGCAGACTCAATCCGGCGGACGTGCTGTCTGTCTCCCCGGTCCTGGTCAATTTCCTTTGTGTCGCCGAGGCACCCACGCACACCCCACACCTAAGTGTGCATGGAGGGAGGAGCCACAGTTTTCCTGAGGGACCCACGGGATGCGGGAGAGGCCTGGACCAGCAGCGGGGACGTGGGGCAGGAGTGAGAGAAACAGCAGGTGGTTCATTCTGGTTTTAAGAAGAGAAGAGGAGCAAAGTCTGGGAAAACCAGGCTTGACCTACTGCGTTTTGGAGGAGACACTGAAGATAATGAAAGGGCAAACGACAGGATCAAGACTTCCCTAGAGAGATGTATGGGTGTGTGAAGGAGCGGAGTGGGGGGAAGAGTGGGAACCCAGTAACAAGTAAGGAAAATCAGAACCCGTGGTGGCAAGAGAGCAGGGGTCTGCAAGCTTCTCTCTTCTATAAAGGGCCCAACAGGAATATTGAATATATATGTATATTCAATATATATATTGAAAACGGAATCCGCATGGTGAGGGTCCAGTACAACTTTGTGGATACTGAAATTTTAATTCAATATAATATGGGGTATCATGAAATATTCTATTGGCTTTTTTCAATCATTTAAAAATGTAAACATCCCCCCCCCCCCTTTATTTATTTTTTCCTTCCTTGGAAGTATAAAAGTAAAAATAGCCCACAGGCCATAGTTTGCTGATCCCTGTTTTAGAGGTATTTTCTGGAGGCTGAGTGAACAGGATTCAATTGGGAAATAAGTAAGTGACCCTAGAATCTAAACTCATCCAATCTGTAACATTTTTGGACGTGAAAGAGGGCAGCATTAATTTACTTCTGGGAGAACAGAAGTAAAATCACATTGTTATCTCAAGCAAATCTGAATGAGTGGTCATCCTAGGATTAAGGTTAAGAGGTCAGAACTGACTCAGAACTTGGTAAAAGGAAGTGGAGAGGCCAGTGATGCGAATAGGGAGATTGGGAAGAAGCTGCTTTGCGGGAAGAGATGGCTGTAATAGTCCTGAGTGTCATACAGTAGGACAGTATCGACCGGCAGGAAGAAACCACTCCACCGTTTACAGCAGGCCACTCCTTATATCTTACAAGAACTGAGTCGCTAGCTAGTCCCTGAAGCGTTAACTGACAAAGAGCATGGGACTGCCATGATTGGTTAGTGTTTACCTGGTTTTTGGCAGTTCTTAGGCAGGAAGCTGGACCTTTAGCATCATGCCAGTAATGTACCGGAGGTATTTTGACACCAAAAAACAAAAACAAAAAACCCTACTTCCCCTTCACCCCACACACACTCCCCATAGAGATGGTACTGGTTGAGAACCACAGGCTTAGACCAAACAGGATTTACGTTGGAGCTGAATTAGGAGTTTTTAGGTTTCTTTTCCTTGATTCGTTTGGAGGGAAGAGAGGAATTAAGCAGCATTGTTACATTGAAGTAAGTAGGGTGGGGAATATTGGATAGGTAACAAATATCTGCCATGGGAGGTAAAAAATTAAATGTTTATATACTGGCTGGTGTCCCCAGTGGTTAGAGCACCAAAAGGCCTTGGGTTTGATTCCCCATTAAGGGCAACCATACTTGGGTTTCAGGCTCCATCTCCTGTTCAGATTGGGGGCATGTGAGGGAGGCAATCAATTAATGAGAGAGAAGTCTGTCACATCCCCTTCTTCCCCCCCTCTCTTGGCTCCCCTCTTCTTCCCACCCATTTATCCCTCTCTCCTCTCCATTTCCCCCCTCCTTTTCCTCCTCCTTCTCCCCCCTCAGAAAATCAAAGGGAAAAATATTCTCAGGTGAAGATTAAAAAAAAGAAAAAGAAAATTAGATGTTTTCTTTTATACCCTTGATAATTGTCTCAGTTTCTCCACACTTGAAGCCTTTCCTCTTTTATTTTTTTATTCCTCTGAGTAACTTATTCTCATTCTAAGCCTCCTGATCTAGTCTGGGAGAGACTCCTTTTTCTCCCCTAGGTAATGATCTCTCCCAATAGGATAGTCCTGCTTTGACTACTGTCCAACCAGTGGCCTACTCTGTCTTCCCCTTCTTAATTCCCACATGAAAGAACTAGTCTTGTATGCTGATTTCCCTTACTCAGGCACCTCTCTTCAGTGATACTTAACTATTGTATTTAAAGGAAAGAACTCAGAAATCTCAGTTGTCACTCACTGGCCTCCATTAAAACCACAAACAGCTTCTCTGCTCTCCCCTTCCACAGTAAACATAATCCACTTTTCCTGTTACGCCTGACACACCCTTTATTGCCGGGATATATTTCCCTTTACAATAACTAATCTTATACCACTACCCCCCCATTCCCCCGCATTGCTAAATTCATTCCCCATCCCAAGAATTTACTCATGCTATTTCCTCATTGAGAGTACCCTTCTCTCTCCAACCATCCAAATTCTGCTACCTCCCAGTTCCTTCTCTGATACTACCTCTGTCCCATGTCTGACTATACCGGCCCACATTGATCTCTTTCTTCAAATTTCTATGAATACCTTGCCCATACCAATTTTGGCCTTTTATTTTATGCTCTTCCTGAATATTCTGTTCTTGAAACCCTCCTTTTGGTCCTAAAATGGCTCCTTTTGCCCCATTTCTTTTCTGACTCTTCCACTCTCCTTTTCCTCCTCATGTGCATGTCTCCCTGGACTTGCACTTTCCTCCTCCTTTGAACTCAGCATGGCCAATGAAGTAAAAGCGATCTTTGTCCTTTCCAAGCAAAAGCTTTAAGAACCCGTGTACAATTTCTCACAAGGTCTCTTTCCTTTGACACAGTGATGTAATATTTTAGTTATCTATTGCTGTATAACAAACCAACCCTAATTTAATAACTTAAAACAATAACTATTTGTCCTAGCTGGTTTGGCTCAGTGGATAGAGTGTGGGCCTGCAGACTGAAGAGTCTCGGTTTGATTCCAGTCACAGGCATGTACTCAACTACAGGCTCGATCCCTGGCCCAGGTTGGGGCAGGCAACCAATTGATATATATCTGTCACAACGATGTTTCCTTCACTATATCTCTCTTCCACTCTGAAAATCGATAGGGAAAAATATCCTCGTGAGGATTAATAAAAAAACAAAAGCCCACCAGTAACTTTTGTCTCTGATGGTATACAAAACCCAAGTTGAATGGGTTCATGGACAGTTGCCTAATTTTGCTTGGGGTCTCTCATGTAGTTCCAGCCAGGAATTGTCTGGGGCTGGAGAACAGGGATGCTAGAATGGCCAAGTGCTATTCCAGGGCCTCACTTCACATTGGCTTCTCCAGCAGAGTAGCCTGGTTTCTTACATGTGGCTTAGGACTCTCAAAAATGCAAGAGCAAAAACTTCCCGGTTTTTGTAGGTCTTGGGCAGGGAAATAACACATTCTATTGGTTAAAGCAGTCACAGGGCCAGCTCAGTTTCAGGAGAAGGGGCATAAACTCCACCTTTTGATGAGAATTGGGGAGAAAACTGACAGAATTTGTGGCCCTGTTTAGTCTACAGTAACAACAATGTCTCAGATAGTGGCTGTTTCCATCAGGTAGGGTCATAGAGTCAGGACAAAGCAGAAAAGGGCCTTTGGCTAACATATATGAATGAGAAATACATCTTTGCTGTTCTAAGTCACGGAGGTGTTTGGTAGCAAACAAAGCCTTATCTATACTGATACAAAAGTGGTACCTGAAGTAAAGCACTGTTATAACAAAAAAACAAAACAAAAAAAAACTAAAATATGTCACGTAAACATATATGGATATGCTATAAATGTTAGTGGTTGGGTTGTTAGGCAGCATCCAGCTCTGAATCTCCTAGCAAATCTAGCTCAGAAACTTGAGCTCAATAAATATTTCTCAAATAAGAGCGACTGTTTCTTGTAATTCTGTTACATTTCCCAATTTTAGGGGAAAGCACTTCTTTCCCACATCATATGTTTCTTGAAGTATGGAGGAGGTGTCACTCACATAACACTGATACTTTATTCCAGTGCTACTTGCAAGTTTCCTGATGTGTAAGTCTGGCACGTGCAATC